AACTTTAATATACAATAATGTTTAAAAAGTTACACTTTTACATTAAATTTAGGCTTCCCCTAGTTTGCTCGACCATGCACTTGCACTTTTTAGCCATAACCATTTAGCTGTTCTTTCTGCAGACTCGGTAATGGTTTGGATAGCTTTTCGTTTTTTTGTTCCCACTATCCCAATATCTGTTAAGGCGCTGACTAGTGATTTTGCCACAAAACCTCTTGTGCCTACTTCAATTGGTTTGCAGTTTGCCTTCCATCCATTGTTCCTACAACTTTCCAGTAATTCATCGTATTTCAGTTTTTTTCCTTTCACTGGCCTCTTCTGCATTATCCTCATAACAGACTGTTAGTTCCCACATAATGGCTTTCTTTAGTTTATTTGAAAAAAGGACTAGGTCTTGACGCAATCGGGTCTTGGAAATGTGATCGGGGAAATTTAGCCTTTTACCTAAATCCACTCTAAGTTCCCAGTCTGTTGCACATGATAAACAATTGGGTGCGGTCATTTTCTTTGGGTTCGGTTTCGCGTCAGCTTTAATAAAATTTATAAAATTCATGTTTGAATTCGGTTTGTTTGTACGGATGGCTGTACTAACGACTTCTTCTATTTCTTTTAGTATTTGATCATGGCGCCATCAATACCTACCGTCTGCTAGGGCGGATTTGCAGTTGCTAAGTATATGTTTTAAAGACCCTATTTGACAGTATAGGGGGCTTGAGGACGATTCTGATTTAGTCCATAAGTGAAGGTTAACGGGGCTTGGTAGAAGGTCATAAACAGATCGGATCAAAAAGTTCATGCCCAGTTCGTTACGCCATAGATCTGACCATCTAACTTTCCTAGGTATCTTTGTCTCCTATTTTGTCCATGAACCTTGTTGCTTAAACCCGATCATCTTTGCTACTCTCATTTCCTCTTCCCCTGCGCGAATTTCGTCCAGTAAGAGTTGGTGTTTTTCCTTACCTACGGCTTTGTCGATTCTAACAGTAGGAAAGAAACCCAGCCCTGCCCGACCCGTGGTGACAGTGCCCAGCACCAGTTTTTCGCGAAAACGTTCTTCTGTCACTTTCAATTCCTTTACAGCGTTCCATTTCCTCCCAGTGTAAACCTCACTATTTTCTCCTGCTACATTTGGGTCCTTGGAGAACTTGTATTATTGTTCGCACCTTAGCGACTTTATATTCTTCTAGAAGGCTTTTAAAGGGGAGTTGACGAATGTTGGAATTACCATAAAGGGCGGCGCTACTTAGACACTTTGGTAGACCGAGCCATCTCCGTAAACGGGAGTTGATCTTTTTTTCTATATGTTCTACGGTAGAGGTAGTGAACTCATAGATGGACAAAGGCCACAATATTTTGGGGAGAATAACATGTTGATAAATCCAAGCCTTGTATCGTCCGGGAAAGCCATACTTGTCTACTTTATCTAACCAGGCTTCAAGGATATCATTTGTTTCCTGGATTGCGACAGAGTCCTTCAGAGTATTATCAAAACGCTTACCCAAGTTCTTGATTGGGTTTTGCTTTATGGTCGGGATATACTCACCAGACAATTTAAAGCGACCCCTCCCTGAAGTTTTCCCTTTTTTCACCACTAATGACCTCGATTTGGCGGCGTTGAAACTCATTCTTGCCCATAAAATAAGTTTCTCCAAACCTTTTAGTAACCACCTCGCACCAATCACAGACGAGGATGTTATGGTTATATCGTCCATGTATGCTCTTACTGGCGGTTGCCGTTGACCAGATCTTGATAAGGGACCTCTGCATTCTATTTCTGCCGCTTTTATTAGCATATTCATGGCCAAGGAAAAGAGGGTAGTGCTGGCTGTTATAATGCCTTTTTTCCAATGTATGCCATGCAGATGTTGCATTTCCTGTTGCTGTTCTCATTTTGAAATTGTTATCATAGTCTACTATGGTCTCTATTGTTTGGGGAGGAACGTGGTGGCGATTTAACGATTCTTCTACCAATTTGTGTGGGATAGATCCATAGGCATTCTTAAGATCCAGCCACAGAAAGGCCATATCGCCTTTATGTGCTCTAACGTCTTTTAGCAGCTACGTGATGACACCTGTATGTTCTATGCACCCCGGTATGCCTGGAACGCCTACTTTTGAACAGAGGTGTCGATATACTTGTTGTTTAAGAGGAAATCTGTCAAGCGTCGATTCATAATACTAAAGAATATTTTTCCTTCGACGGTCAATAGGGAGATGTACCTAAATTTATTTACTGTACTTGCTTTTTCTTCTTTAGAGATCCATATTCTTTCTGAGCACCTCCATTGTACAGCTATCTTCTCTCTTCTTCAAACAATTTTTAACAACCTCCATAACATACGGAGCAACAATGGGCAACGTTTATAAACTAAGTAAGAGACTCCGTTAGGTCCAGGGGTTGATCCCGATCTGGCTGTTTTTATTATTGTTTGAACTTCTTTCAAAGTTGGTTCTTTTAAGTCAAAAGGGTATGAAGGCAAATTAGGTGTGATTAGAGAGGAGTTTTCTTCTAGCTTTATATGTTTATTTGGGTCGCTCAAAGTCTTTTTAAGGAAGTCATTTATTTCGTCAGGGGTAGATGTTAACCTTCCATTAGGTTTATCGCCTAATAATTTCTTAGTGAAACCGTATGGATTAGAGACGAAAGCTAATCGTTTGCGCGCCCTTTCCTTCCTTCTATTCCTGTGCCATTCTGCTCTCCGTAAAGATTTCATTTTGGAACGGAGTTCTTGCAGGGGTCCCTTTTCTTCCGGTTTTGCTTTCTTATATTGCTTTCGGATAGCTCTTAGTTCCGCTCTACATTGTTTGATTTTATTTTACCTTCGATTTTCTGAAGATTTTTCTTTCGTCTTCCTTTCCTCGTATCCGAAACGCTCTGAAACGTAACTAACTATGATTTTCGACATAGGACTTAAACGGGTATCCAACGAGCCTTTTGAAATTGTCTCTAGTATTTCGCTGATGTCTAAATGGAAGTCGTGCCAAGCTTTTTTTTTATCTACGGCCGCAGGCCATTTGATCTTTTTCCGAAATGTCTCAGATGGTAATTCTAGGGATACTTGTGCCTCTGCTTGGAAGAACTGGGCTCTGTGGTGAGCTTCCCGGCCATGTATTTCCTGCGTCGCATCAGGAGAATTTCCTGTGCGCTGCAACTGGCTAGCTTCCAATTAACATTTCATTTTGGCCTAATGGATTTTTACGCCGCGTTTATTCTCTTGCATTATATATATATATATATATATATATATATATATATATATATATATATATATATTAAATAAAAAACAGACCACTTTAAGGTTCCATGTAATAAATTATTTCACCACAGCCCTTTTAAAGGGCTGTGGATCATCAGACTTTACTTCCACTACTTTTTTTACCTCCTTTGGTTTACCCATACAGAATTACCTAATTTTTCATAAACTAACTATATATATATATATATATATATATATATATATATATATATTATATAAGAATATTTCCATATATAAATATTATTTTATTATTAAACATTCACATTAGATAATCATAGTTTGTGTCGTGCGAGACAATTTTTTCTCCAGACTCTATCTTATATATATATATATATATATATATATATATATATATATATATATATATATATATATATATAAGTCTACTATTCGTCTATGCTTAGAACATTGCTACCACATATGCCTCCGTATTTACTTTGCGCTTCTTGGTAAGATCGAAGAAGAATAAGCAATATTATTGGTCATGATCTAGTAGCTCGGATTCAGTAACATTCACAATTCTGTAAGGTTGTCTCTGTATGTTTTCTATAAGTACTTTCAGGGTAATTGTTCGGATGCGCTCTTGGCTAAGATACATAGACTTTTTTGAATTTAAGCGCTGTACTAGAGTGGTGACGGAATTTCATCAATTTATTCTTGAGCTGGCTAGATATCACCGCAATTTCTATGCTAACAATTTCTTTTCTAGCACATCTCTCTCGTGGAACTCTCTTCTGGCTCCATGCTTCCTCGCCAACATTATTGTTGAAACTTGGATAAGCATGGAATAATAATAATACAACACAAAATGTACGTAAACAAAATGTATTGAAACAAGGAAAAGGTACACAATATTTACAGTTACTTTTGGTATATTCTTGGGAAGACTGTTCCTGCATAATGGGTTGACTAAATCGCAGTCGGGCAGAGTCTCTGGATTCGATGTCTTCTTACTATCCTACTATCCCTCGTCTTCCGGTACCAACCCATATTTATATGGTCGGAACTCCACTTATGTAAATTAGGTGGATCGAACACAACAATTATTTTGCAAATATTAAATGCAATGCCGGTCACTATCTAATGTTTTCCTGAATACTCTTTTCTCTTTCTGCTCATTATTAACTTTTCTGTTCTTAATTCTGTCACCCACTGTAACCCCTTGTGTTTTAGTGGCTTCACTTCCTTGCATGGTGGGATACAGATTTAAAAATATATAAATTGTGTATAGTGTTCTTTTTTAGGTTCCTGGGCGATATGAATGTAATAGACATCTTTTAGAGACCGAAATATCTGCCTTTTCTGCATATGTATGTTTCTATTTTTCGCAAAGCAAATACAAATCTTATTATATTTTCATGAAGAAATCTAGTAAAAATATCGTATAAATAGAAACTTAGAATCTTCGACATGCATTAATGTTTATTTACAAAGAACGATTTGAATATACAAAATTATAGCTAAATATATTCTGGGGTCTGTATTTATTATATCTAGCAATGTTGCTTCACATAAAAAATATTGATGGCGAGTCAAAGAATGTAAGGCATGAAATTGATTCAAGGCAATAAAGTCAATCTGTGGTACAAAATCCAAATACCTTTATTTAATGCGAAGAAATGAATGCAACACAATGCAGCATGTATTGACTTTTATTGCGTATAAAACTACACAGATGTGTGTCAGAATGGCCATGTTAACCAACGTGAATCGCCGGAAGCTTCTTACGTAGACTGCTTCCGGCCATTGAAACACTCTTTCCCTTACGGTCACCGATGTTAAGCAACGTCGAGCTTGATCATTACCTATATGGGTGACAGCTTGGGAAAACCAGGTGCTGTAAGCTTGGATGCGCGTGTGGTGTAATGGATAAATATTCGTAATTGTTAATCGGATACTCAAGTTCGAATTCTCATTGGATTCGATACATACACTTACGACCAAATACCACTTACTATCCGAGCTATACTTAATGTACTAAGATTACTATCGGTATTGTCATTATTTTTTTTTAAAGGAACACATTGTCTAAAAATAAAATCCTAATATAAAAAATATTTTCTGATTTTAAATAACCTGCAAAGGTGTAATAAATCATAGAAAGTGAATTAATCAATCTTCGCTTGACATGCAATCGCGGCCGCAACTACAAGAAAAACCATTTGTTCCGAAAAATCTCACTTGATGTACTGTGCGAAAACAACTAACGGCAGAATTATGTCTGATGCAGGAGGAGACATTTTGCTTAGAAAAACTCTTCGACGCCTCATGTAGACACTTTGCCGTTTACCGTATCAAGACTTACGCTATTCTGTTGCTATTTCCATGAAAAATGTTCTGACGAGCCATAGTCTTAGTCCCACCAACGACGCGTACAACGAAACTGACAACAATTATTATTTTCGTAGTAACAAACCAGTTCCACTCGAACAGCTTTTATTCCTACGAGGCGGCAGCTATATAGAAACGATCCCCAATAGGATACCTTCCCAAACACTAGAATCTTACGCTCTTCTTTCCGACATACCATCATAAACAGTGCCCTTAACCACTCACAGCTACAACCCACATACCAAACCCCTTTAGTAACTCACTATCTTGCGTGACTCTTGTGTCCTGTGCAGGGTGAACATTAGAATAAAAAATATCTACTTGAGCGTAAATTAAGTCAATATATATATTTTCATGTTAATAGCTTTTTAGGATATCGGTGTGAGGATCCAGCCGAAAATGAACGCCACCCTTTTAAGGGAATCGTTTTCAGATTATAAATAAGATAACAGTTCCAGTACCTCTCTCTGTTCAGGTCCCTTCTAGTAATTAAAGAACTTGTTGTTATCATTAAAGCATATATCACAAAGATATATAAGGTTGATTCTTTATGACGTAAATATATGTTTTCTGTCTACATACGGCATTAGCATTTAAGCAGGCATTCACACTATAGTGACCTGTAATGATAGTTAAATATGTGCACCAATCCCCAATACTAAATTTGTTTCTCATTATCAGCCAGACGCAAGTGAATACATAAAAGTGATTTAAATGAATGCTGCAAAATTTGACACAATATAAATAGCATATGACTGTCTTTTGAAATATATTATTTATATAACACATCTCGTCACAATGCGCACACACCCCACCCCATATGTCTGTGCTTGTGTGTGTGTGTGTGTGTGTGTGTGTGTGTGTGTGTGTGTGTGTGTTTGTCTGTGTGTTTATGTGTATATTTTGAAAGAATGTATAATAAAATGGATAAAGATTTCGTGTGAGGCGTTTTGTCAAGAACTTCATCGAAAGAGATGTGTTATACGAAAACTTTTTCTCGCTTGTCATGTATTTTTTCCAATATTGTTTTTGGTATATAACGTTATCTCAAACCAAATACAGAGAAGAAGTGCAGAGAGTCTGTCATAATGACATTAAAGGACTCTCCTCAGGTTGGTATTCAGAGTTAATTAGCAGTATACAATCCAGGCTACACTAATATTTAAAGAAGAATCCTCTGTGTGTGTGTGTATACTTACATATTTTAGTTAACTAGTGGCTAATCAAATCGAGAGTCGAACAGAGTTGACTTGATGGCATTACAAAGAAAATATTCCTCTAAGAACAGAAAAAGAAAATTATTTGAATATCTTTTGAAGATTTCTCTCAGATCAAGGACGATATAGCCAAAAAGAAAATTGGAATCAAATGATTCGGAAAAAAGAATAATTACTAAATGTTCACATAATACTTTTATTTCCATGGAGATTATCAATAAAAAATGAAGTACAATTCTCTTAGCCGATAAAATCGGAAATGAAAGTTCATATTACTGTGCATCTCTAAAAGAATTAGCTACTAATTTTATTTTACAAAACCTTGACTGACTGACTCATATAAACTGATGCAAAAATAAAATTTATGATATAATCAAATAAAATGAATGCACGTTTTAATTCAACAGTCTTATACACACACACACCCATATATATATATATATATATATATATATATATATATATGTGTGTGCGTGTTTGTGTGTGTGTTTGTGTATATATATATATATATATGTTTGTATATATATATATATATATATATATATATGTGTGTGTGTGTATGTATGCATGTATGTATGTATTAAGACGTTTTTTATGTTTATTCTTTTTATAGATACAAATTTTATAAATGCTCTGTTTATAATAAACAGTATTAAATATTTGTATCTATAAAAAGAATGTATAAACACAAAAATGCCTTAAAATAATTGTATATTTGTTCAATTCATATATATATATATATATATATATATATATATATATATATATATATATCAAGTCATCCCATAAGTTCTGTCCGAATTTTAATTTTTTTTAAAATGAACGAAATTTAAAGAGTATTTTATGATGTCTAATGGAGCTGAAGATTATTTTTATGTTTAGATGCATTTAAACTGATCAAATTTTATTTCAGAGAACAATAAAATTAAATTTTGTTTGATGAAAACCCTGCTAAACATGGAAGTACCTAAGAATCATATGAGGCACATAATGCTTTATGAGTTCAAGAAACGAAACTCAGCAGCAGAAGCGGCTAGAAACATTCATTCAGTTTATGGAGAGGAATGTGTGATTGAAGAAGATGGTTTCCAAAATTCAGAGGTCGAGATTTAACCCTTGAAGATGAATATCGAACCGGACGTCCAGTTGAGTTTGATGAAAAGGTTCTTGAAGCAGCCCTTGAAGAAAATCCTGCTTTATCAGTTGAGGAATTGGCAGTGGTTCTCAGTTCAAACCATACAACTGTTTATCGTCATCTTCAACAACTTGGAAAAGTTCCCAAACTTGGAAAATGGGTGCCTCATGAATTGTCTGAAAACAACCTCAAATCCCGAGGTGACATCTGCTCTTCTCTCCATTCTCGCCAACTTTTTGCACCTTTTTTCGATAGACTTGTGACTGGCGACGAAAAATGGATCTTCTATCGAAATATTAAGCGTCGTAGACAGTGGCTTGGTAAAGGGAAAGGACCCCAGCCACTGCTGCGAAAGCAACTTCATGGGCAAAAGTTTCTTCTTTCAATCTGGTGGGATCGCCACTTTGAAATCTTACCAACTAATGCAAAAATTAATGCTCAAATATACTGTCAGCAATTAGAGCGTTTGAACCGAGCTTTGAGGAAAAAAGACCTGCTCTAGTGAATAGAAATGAGTGATGTTTCATCAGGACAATGCGCAACCTCACACAGCAATAATACCGTCACAAAAGATAGAAGAACTTGGTTTGGAGAAAATTCATCATCCACCTTATTCTCCCGATCTTGCTCCTTCAGACTACCATTTGTTTCGTAGCTTACAGAATCATTTGGAAGAAACAGCCTTTGTAACACAGGAAGGGGTTAAAACTGACTTTTGTGAGTTCTTCGAATCAAAGCCAAAATAATTTTGCAGTAATGGAATTAGTAAGCTTGTTAATAGATGGAAGGAAGTCATAGATAATCAGGGAAAGTGCATTGTTGATCGAATCTGAAATTAAATGTAACATTTAATCACTTGATTTCTTTATTCAAAATTCGGACATAACTTATGGGATGGCCTGATATATATATATATATATATATATATATATATATATATATATATATATATATATATAAGATAGACTGTGTCTATAGACAAAATGAATAAAAAGAGAAAAGAGGAAAAACTATACCCATTGATGTAACATTGAATGTGCGCCTGTTGTAAAACCGTACTCAGTGCGAACTTTCAATCTGGCGCTTGCGGAGGTCTGATTGGTCCTCCGGTCCAAGACGAGAGAGATTTCTGGCCCAACTTAGAAAACAGCAATGGTAGTTTTGAAGAAATAAATGTGTCAATTGACTCCATGGTACTTCGAATTCCTCCATGAACTCCGATTCGATCCGTTTTAGACTTAAATTAGAGAATTGATTTCTTTTTATATTACAAACTCCATGAAACTTCAGTTGAGTTGGGTTCACCAAATCACAAACTCAGCAGAACTTCCAAACGTCACATCACAAAAACCTCTCACTATAACTCTGCTTCCTTGGCATCGTCGAAAAATAAAATTAATTTTCGCAGTCCTCAAAGGTTTGGGGATATTTTAAACTGAATTTAAAACAAAAAAACAATTAAATCCACGAATTTTGAATTCACAAATTTTGAATTCACGAATTTATGGACTTAAGCGAAGTAATAATGTTCTCATCATTTTACAGTTGTAAATGCTAGATATAGCAGTAAGATCTATACTAAGAGTATATTTCATTGTACTTCTCGCTTGTGGAACTCTCTATTCTCCAGTAAACGTCTTTATTCAAAATTTCAAATGCAATGTTAATCTTTATGTCCCCCTTTTAATTTCTTTTCTTTTCTTTTTCTTTCTCCTTAATATGTTTTCTCATATTCTTTCACATTTCTTAACCCCTTCAGTCTAAATAGCTTTATTGCTTTTCTTGGGGTTAAATGACTAAAAATATAATGTTGCAGATTCTTGTTTAGATTTTATTCAGAAACTCTAAATACATAGTAGTACCACCAGACCTGTTGTGACGGCCAAATTGCATTCATGGTAAACGGATAAATATGTATGATAGATTCTGTCGATAAAATTGCCTTGTACGACAAAAGGAAAAAACTCTCCTAACAGTAGACGTAGCCATTGATTAAATATAAACTTCATGTCTGTGAAAATGTTTTGCTTGGAAGGCGCAATGTATTTTTTTCCTGGATGTTAGCATTAAATATGCACATACATGGCGACAATGTTATCTAAGCCGATTAAAAGGGAGCAAATTCCTTATGCCGGCGTTAAAATTAACGAAACATTTCTTT